GTACTAAACATTCTTAGATCAAATTCAAACCTTAAGACGATAGCACAATTTTTGGCGAAAAATCTTTCATTTTGAAATGTCATGAGAAAAGCAAAAGTACCATGCATAAAAAGTACATAAAGAGCTAGAAAAGTGAAACTCTGAACAATTTTTTTCATAAGCAATAATAAATGATAACTTGTTTAAAATGTTGACCCTAAAATATCCTACTTGTAAACATCCTGTCTAATTGAAATCTAGTAGACAACTGTAACAAAAAAAATACAAGACAGTAAACACTACATGATGCTCCTGCCCTCTTGAAAAAAAAAAACCAAACATGATCTTGTTCTCTACACCAGCCACCAACTTACACTTACTACCTTAGGTAATATTGACAAAATTGATTATATGTTTTGTGTTTCCTGATTTGACATCAACTTTTTCTGGAGCGAAATGAGGCAACAAAACCAAATTTTAAGTGCTTTTGATTTCTATCAGTCCTTAGATTTATTCAGTACAACAAAAGAGACTGCATTTAATAATAATAATCTTTATAATCCGTAAGGAAATTTGTCTTATAATTTGTGCATTACATCAAACAAAACATAACTATATAAAACAAAAATGTACTTTCACATCAGACTCACTCATAATTTACAAGTGAAAAGTTTATCAGTTTCTATTTAATGATTTGAATGCCACGGTAACAAAAAAGTTTTTGTGTCTGTTTGTCTTTGCTAACGGTGTCTTGTAGCTTTTTTGTGATGGTAAAATCTTGTGTTTATTAATTTTGAATCTTGAGTAGATCAACATCATAAATAAAATGTATCTGATCTTAGCCTGCATCGTAATGTCAATGAAATCCTCATGTACAAGTGCAGTACATTTTGTTTTTTAACTTCCCACACCAATTCAAGTCTTCAGTACACTGACATTTTTTTTTACTTTTTAAATAAATGAAGCAATGTACTTTTTGTCTTTTTTTTTTTATTATTTCAGGGGTACAAATGGAGTTGGTGGCTGGGTATATAAAAGTTATCAAGGAGACCCCAAGAAAACATTATTTTTCTGGTTTATGAACACAGATATAAAAGTAAGTGATCAGTTATGTGATGTTGAAGTAGTCTTGTAGTGCTTCTGTGAAGAAGTGATGGCACATGTCGTACCAGTATTTAGAACAAGTTTATGTTCATTGTGGTGATTGATAGGCCTGATATCTTATATCCAGCAGTATATAGACATGGACGGTAATTGTTCATAGACATGGAAGGTGCATGTCCATAAATTATCGATAGCCTGGACACTGCTTATTCTTCCTTGAAAAATATTGATAGAAAGGGGATACGCCTGGCTTCATCTTTTCAGGCTGAGGTGCCTAGATATGCAAGGCAGGCTACTTTTCCATGGGCCAACCTGTAAAAAGAGAAAATATCCCCTCAAACAACAAAATAATTAAAACTAATTATTGTAGTCAGCATCATCACCAAGATCAAGCACTTCAACATCATTGTTAAACCAATTCTACTGTATGAAGCAGAAATCTGCACAACTATCTTCACCCCAGTGAAAAAAAATCAAGGTATAAATCAATACCTGCCTCAGGAAGATTCTCATTATCTCAAATGAGGAACAGTGGTAAAGAACAAAGTAGCAGCCAATTGATGTAGATATCCTTCAGAGATATTGAAGGTGGATAGGCCACACTTTTCGCAAGCCTGCATCCAACATTACAATGCAAGCCCTCCTCTGGAACCCCCAAGGAAAGAGGAAGAGGGGTTGGCCCAGGAATACATGGCACTGTTATTTGGAAGCAGATACCAAGCAAATGGGCAAGATGTGGGGTCAGCTGTAGAGACTCGCACAGAACTGAGATGCCTGGATGAAACTTGTTGGTGGCCAATGACCCAGATAGAACCCCAGGCAGAGATGAGATGAAATGAGTGTAGTAAGAATAGAATTAGATGGCTCTTTACAATTTTTATAAAAACAAATAAAAAATGACAAGAATTCTGTCTGTTTTATGTTTCTCTGATGTCATCTCTTATTCATGTTTATAAGTGTTGTTCTACTGAACAACACAATTCAACTAAAGGGAAGTATACATTAAAAGATGCAGTTTAAAGATGAAGCTTGCTTGCATCTAATTTGCCTTCCATATTTTCTTGCTTAGATTGTGATATCCATTAATTAGTGTTGACTTGTATTTAGAGCCTGTAGTGTAGTTTATGTTTAATATCTTTTTATTTTCTTTTACCTTTTTATTTTTTTTTGTCTTTCTGTTCAGTGGACTTTAGTTTATACTAATTAATCTCGTTCTGAAAATGTATGCAATACCTACGTAACATATCTGAAATTATCAAACCAGGGATGAAATGGTGACAGTCTTGCCACTTGGGCTCAATGATATATAGACCATTGTAATAAGTCTTTTGAACCATTGGGGCACCACACTAGATCTGTCGACTGTCTTTCTTCATTTCTCTCTGTCTTTTGCCTTGAATAGAATTTCATTCTTTTAATGTTGTCTTCCAATCGCTTAGTTATTGAAAAAAACAAATAGTTCAAATCAGACAGGATTTTTTACATGGATTTTAGGAAATATCTGACATTCGTTTCAAATGAGAAAAATAAAACAGTAGATCATGCTGTGTTCATGAGGTCCTAGTTAGATTGGCCAATGACTTTTATTTACCAGAAACCTAACAAAATTTTCACTTCAGACATACTTTAGGATTGCGTTCTCTTAAGACTCTCTAGACAGTGTTATATTCTTTTTACAAATTATTTCTGGTTACACTGTAGTGTGGTGGCTGAGTAGTAAAACATTTGGCTTCCGAACTGAGGGGTTCTGGGTTTGAATCTTGGTGATGACTTGGATTTTTAATTTCAGGATATTAAGGGCTCCTCTGAGTCCACCCAGCTCTTAAGCAATGGGTACCTTAGTTGGGGGAAGTAAAGGTGATTGTTTGTTGGGCTGGCCACTTGACACCCTTGTTAATCTTGTGTCACAGAAGCAGATGACCTTTACATCATCTGCCCCATAGATCACTAGGGGAACTTTACTGTATTACAAAATCTCAAAATTAATATCCTTTAAGTGTATTGTATGTCGACTAGCCAGATAAATTTAAAGACAACTTTGTATCTACATCTAAATCATGTTTTTTTTAAATGTAATTTTCAGGGCTGGTTTCCTCAAGCATTGATTGATGCCAACATGGCCAAAGTGTTAATGGATTTTTTAAATGACCTGCGAGCCCATGTGAAAGATATGTCACCAAGCTCCTAGTCGTCAGCCTGTGTGTGTGTGTGATAGCTATTTTAAAATTATTCAACTATTTATTTGAAGGACTTGTTGACTATGACTCTGTGATGTTCTTTGACAGTTCTTCCCTTAAGGGAAATAACTGCACATCTTCAGCATCAGAACTAAGGGTTGATGCTGAAAACTTGGCTGTAATACAAAAACTGTAAAAGTGCTCAACTAAAAAAATATTTTCCTTAGATAGATTTTCATCAATAGCACATATGAAGGCAGCACTTTTTTTTTCAGGGGCTTTCAATAAAATGAGGTAATTAGTAGGAACTCTTCTGAGCAATGAATTTTTTTTCCACACTTCTAAAATGTGGTTGCTTAGCTATCCTTTAGTGTATCCAAAGTATCATTCTTATATGTGATGGACACATTTCTTATGATACAGTACATTTCTAAAACATCTTTCACAAGGGTTATTATTTTTTTCTCTTGTTATTTCACTTCATCTTTAGCTCCCTAAGCAAGCTTTTCTTATGGGATCAACCATTCTTTTATTGAGATGTTTCTCTGCGGTAAATACATATGACACTAATCTCTCTTTATAGGGTCCTGCACCAAAGGGTAAATTTAGTTTCCCATACATGGTTGTGTACTAATTGCAATTAGTAAACCAATAATTATTCATCTAATGAATGCTTTGCCCACAATTTCTATGCCGAATACGTTTTCTTTTAAGGAAACACAGACTGTTTTTATTTGGAGCATATGTTGACATTTTATTGCTTAATTAGAACAATATTAAAGATATATGTACCCTATAATTAAGATTATAGCTACTGGATACATTATTTGCTCATTAAAATATGATGTTAACATCACAGCACATCAAACAGAATGAGCCTAACCCTTATAAGGAGAGTTTCTTTTAGATTTATTTGTGTTTTTTTCTGTATTATTTTTGAGCATCTACAAAATAAAATGCAGTTATTTACCATATAATTATTTATGTTTACCATCAGGTCCTTGGTTAGACTAAGTGTCCGCCAGCATAAGTTCCATCTTTACTGTGTGCAATGCTAGGTTTTAAAAATTGATTAGCGATAAAGTTGTTTTTTTGTTCCATCTCACTGGAGGTGGCTCTGTTGTTTTATTTTTACTTTGTATAACTATTTTGAAACATAATAATTGCTTGCTGACAACAGTAGATAATCTTGAAGTCCTATTGATGCTTTGTATTTGTTGTTCTCTTAAAAATGGCATTGGTTATATTCTTTTTAAATAGGAAGCTGTGAGAAATAATGGACTTTTGTTGCAGGTCACAGTAAGTAGTGGAGAGTATCTAGAAAAAAAATGAAACTTTGTATGTCTATTTTGTATTTTAATTCTTCTGTTTCTGTAAACATTTGTTTTTTGGCTCTTAAGTTTGTGTGTTGGTTTTTGTTTCCCTGGTCTTTCACTGCTCTAAATATGAATACCATCACTATCATTTGTTGTTCATGAAGCAGCCTGTTGATATCTGCTGCTGTTGTTGTCTAAATACATTCATACATTTCATATTGAACTTCTAGGCTCATGTTTCATGTCAGTTTAATTTTTTTTTAATTTTCTTTCTTTGCCTTTCCTTAGCATTTGTACTAGAGTAAGAAATTTTATTATATGATATATAATGTTACTTTTAAATTGATGTATTTGTTTTGAAAGTTTCACCATTTTAATTATTATATAGAACAAAAAAAATATGTTTATTTCATTCTTTAGAGTGTTTTTAAAATATGTATTGTCAATCATATTGTTTTTGTTGTTTGTACATTGAAAAAAATGTTTTTGTAAATATATACACATTTTCGATAGGTTTACACTTTTCAAAAGTTCGACTTTGCTGAGTGAAAAATTGAAATGCAATGCTAATTTTATTTTTTCAGAATTATGTACATTTTTAGTATATTAGTAAATTTTTAAGCAGTTAATTTTTTAAAAGTCTGTTAGACATACAATATATATTATATTACTTTATTTTATGGCCTTTAATTTTTTTTTAATGGTCAAAATCCCAATCTTCACCAGAATTCAATTCCCCAGTTTGGAAGCAAAGCACTTTACTACACAGCCCTCATAAAACAAAGACATATATTCAAAAGTTGTTTTGGATAGCTACCAGAAATAAAGCTTTTAAGGCATGCATCCTTTCTTGTACATCCCCCTTGACCTGATCCTTTTGGAGCTTTGCAAATGTTGGTAAGAGGCACACATACTCTACATACATATACAAACTTGTGTGGACTCTTGTAGTCTATAGACTGGTATACAAGTCAGAAGTGTCTAGCTCGTAGGTAGAATCTTCTTGAGTCACAGTTTCTAAGATACTCCTCCTGTAGTCTATAGACTAAAACAAGATGCTGAGAGGAGTTTTTATCACATAAAGCGATGACATAGTTTTGAATTTTTTCTGCATAATCGATTTTAGAGTTTGTTTTTCAATTTTTTGTTAAAATAAATACTTTGTTCAAGATATAAATACAAAATGTGATGCCAAGTGCTGAGACAATGAATAGATGCGTACAAATATGAAATATGAAGCCTGGTTAAAGACATTATGAAAGTATATTATTAGAGTTATTAGTCATATACTATTTATGTGATTGTACTGACCTGTGTTGTATTCATTTTGAAGCAGAATACAAATGTATAGGAACTAACAGAGTTCCTTGGGTTTATTTGGAACATTTGAATGTTTGTGCTTTAAAATGTTGTTTTTTTTATATCTATGAGACTAGGTTTACTTAATGTTTTAAGAGTTTTATTACTTAACTATATGTTTAGTAAAGCTTGATAGTACCACAAAATGATGTGAACAGCTGTATATATATAAATATATATATATATATAGATATATATTGTATATATATTGTACACTGATATACAGCTAGAACATGCATTAAATTTTGTTTTATTCTCAATACAATGTACATTCTTACTTCTTTTTCATGTTTCTTTCTCTCATGAATTTGAACAAAAGAAAGTGTTTGTTTTATAGGTTGTGTCTGTAGTGAACAACTGTATCTTAAGGAATGCTCAATTCTCTGACTTCTGTAAGCTCAAAGTTTTTCTTCATTTCATCTATTGTCATTTCTTTTTTTAAATTGAGGACCATTGTTTTATAGCTCATATTATATGTAAATATAAATAATATCATACCTGAAAATCAAGCTATGTTCATAATGAACAGTATGTTAAAGATATACACAAGTCTTTGAATGTCATCAAGTATACAGACTTTCACTTGATTTAGAGAGAATCCATCCATTTTTGTTTTATGCCAATCATAACTGACAGAGATTGTTCAATGATTAAGTCATAAGATTTTTTACAATCGTAAAGCTTTTTGAAATTTGAATGTATACAATTATTTAGATATTTCATGAGTGTGTCCTTTTTGTTGACTTGTCACAATGTAATTTAGACCACAAAAGGAAAAAAACACAATTTGTTCTCTTTTTTTTTTTAAACTTTGAAACACAAACAAATTTTGGGCAATCATTTTTATTTTAACTATTTATTTTTATTTCAATAATGATATTGTGTAAATATATTTTTCATTAAACATAAATAGTGTCAAAACCTGAGTACTAAATCTAAGTATGTAGTCAGTGGAACAATGAATTCATTTTTTGAACCAAAAGTGAATGTGGTCTTCATATGGACATTTGTGTTAGATGTGGTCTTCATATGAGCATCTGTTTTATATGTGGTCTTCATATGAATATCTGTTATGTGTGGTCTTCATATGAACATCTGTTATGTGTGGACTTCATATGAACATTTGTAACGTGTGGTCTTCATATGAACATTTGTAACATGTGGTCTTCATATGATCCATTTGTTATGTGTGGTCTTCATATGAACATCTGTTATATGTGGTCTTCATATGGAAACCTGTTTGTGAGTCATTCTAAACTTTGACAAAAAAAATGTTATTTTTTTTATAGTTTTTTTTTTTAAATAAATATGAAATGCTTGTTTTTCCAGCAAATATAAACTGCAAGTTTTTGTTGTAAATATAAACTGCAAACTTGACTTAATAAAATAAAAGTTTTATTGTTTTAAAAAAAATGTTTTGTTATATTTCTATACTCTGTAAGCTAGCAACTCGCACAAGTTGAAAGTAATTTAAAAAGGCAAAAAAATGTTAAATCCTTTTAAAAAAAAAAAAAAAAAAGCTTATCTAATGGAAAAAACTCTGCACTTACAACTATATCTCTCAATAATGTAGATGTTCTTCCCTTATTTGATATTACAGAAAATAATTAATTACATGTGATTAATTGAATATGTTTTTTATTGATTTATGTCTTGTCTATGACAATGAATAATTGTGCAAAGTATCAAGTTGATCCGAGAATGGGTGTGGGAAAAATTATGTGCATACAATTTTTACCAGACAGACAGAGTTGGTATACGCTTTTTAATATAAAGCAATTATTCAAATGATCTTACTAACACATTATACTGAAACCAGTTAAGTAGCATTAGACTAGAGCCATGCAAAATCTTACTTCGTAGTAGTCGAATATGAAGCACGTTTCTCATTTCCTATGAAATCTAAGATGGCTTTAGAGTTCAATCCTCGTTTTAAAAAGCCAGCCACTTACATGGCATCTGAGACAATCTTGGACGCTGACTGCAGAGCTAGAGAGGAGGATCCTAGCAATGGAATTGAGATGCTACAGAAGGATCCTAGATATCACATTTAAAGATCGCATCACAAACCAAGACATTAGCAACAGGGTTTCTGAGGCTTATGGACCCCACGATGACCTGCTAACTATCGCAAAAATCTATGGCCATATTACAAGATCTTCGGGCTCGCAAAGACCTTCCTTCAGGGAACAGTACCAGGTAAAAGAAGAATAGGCAGACAGAGAAAGCGATGGGAGGACAACCTAAAAGAATGGACGGGCCTGCCATTGAAAGAGTTTCTAACTAATGCAAAAGACAGGAATGAAGAAAGACGGTCGACGAATCTTGCATGGTGCCCCAACAGTCCAACAGACTAAGGTTTAATCTACTACAGATAGCCTATTCCTGCTTGTAAGATCAGTGTTCTTTGCTGTTAGTTGATCTTCTCGCCTCTTATCCTGACTGGATGCCATGGAAATCGATCGAGAACTAGCGCTTCCCAGTCGTGAATGCCAATCTCATACTTCTTAAGGGTGTCTTTGCTTGTGTTGCCGAGAGCGTATTTGTATCACAATGTGTTTATCTTCTATTTTTAACAACTGATACTTCAAGTGGCTGCCTTGCTGCAAGTGTAAAATATCTTTCAGTATTTATTGGACCCACTTTTTCCTAAACAGAAGTTATGCTCGAAAATGTTCACATTGTTCTGAAAACTAGGAACTTAAAAAAAATAATAATTTGAGTGCGCAATGGTTAGAACCATATTTTATGTCTATGGTTAGAACCATACACTTATATATACTATATCTAGACTTGACATGGAGACTTTTTAACACTACAAAAAATGTTGTGAAAAATTTTTAGAAAGTTGGATCAAGGCGTTGTTTTGTAAAGTAGTTAAAAGAAGTAAAGTTGTATTTTATTCAACCCTAACCTATGTAACACATAATTTAATTTTTAGATCTAGATCTAGTAATTGAACATCAAAAATAAGAGTAGTCTCGTCTCATAATTATTATTTTGCAATTTTTAGATACATAATCTAGAAATATATAGGTAATCAATCTATTTAAATATATAAATTTAAATCAACAGACATGCATTATTTCGATCTAGACTTTTTGAAACATTATCTCAATGGAAACAAACAGGAAATGGCTTTGTTTCATATATTTGCGTGAATATATAGTTCTGTGATTAATATCCCATTCAAAAGAAAATCCGAGAAATGATACTCTCGTCTCATAATTATTATTTTACAATACTTAGATACATAATCTAGAAAGATCTGGGTAATCAATCTATTTAAATGTACATAAGATGATTTAAATCAACATGAATTATTTCGATCTAGGATTTTTGAAACATTATCTCAATGGAAACAAAACATGAAATGGCTTTGTTTCATTTATTTGTGTGAATATCCGAGAAATGATTTTGCATTATTTTTAAACTTTGAAAAGTAAAGATCATTACTTTTCTAAGACAGAAAAGATTGATTGGGGCGACTCCCCTTAGAGCCTGAAAAAAGAGTTTACGTACATAAAATTCTATATATGTATAGGTCTGTGAATCGATCAGTCGCGGATAAGAATTTATTTCCGGTTTCCAGTCTAGATCTAAATATATCTAATATATATGGTTAGAACATTTTCACTCCATAAAACTGCACGCTATGCACGACATTGCACCTCAATTGAACTTTTAATAATCGTGATATTTGCTAGCCGAATGTAAACAAGAAACAGTTTAGAAACTGAACATCTTGAAGTTAAAAAAAAAGTACCACAGAATATTAATTCTACCATGTTTACTTAAAGTTTTTCTTATCTAAAATGCTACCTACGTATACACGTGTCCCTAGCAGCTACACATGGCCTAGATCTAATTCGTTTGCGAAGTCCAATACTTACGCTTTCCCTTTTAATCCTCGTTTTGGATACCAGCAGCCACAGCCCCAGGCATCATTTATTCCCCGTCTAGCTATTCGCCCGTATCTACGTCCCAATGCAGGTTATGACCAGATGGGCAAGTACATTAGAAAACCTACAAACCAAAGCGTCCCAATGGACTTGCCAACTACGATGACGGAAACGGCCGTGTCGCAGAGAGTGCCAGCAGCCAAGCAGACTCAAGAACATGACTGCACCTTGTGTCAAGAACTTGTGGATAACTCTCAGCCAGGGATTTTCTACTCACAGTTGAGATATTCCCCATGGATGTCAAATAAAACAGTTAAAAACACAGCTATGAAGTCAAGGGTAAGTCGACTGTGCGGTCCAATCGTAAACTAGAAAAGATAGTAAACATCCGACATCATAATATTTCAACTTTCAAAGTTCTGATGCAACGGCTACTTTTTTCTTTTCTGAAAGCGAAAAATCTATTTTTTTAAATCACTTATGCAAGCAGTTTTTTCATAAAAATGCACCACTTTTACAACTATCACTATTAATAGGAACAAACACTAGAGACTCTTTAGTAGGGGAGAGAACTATGGACCATATTTTCAACACATTTATGTGTTTTTTAGATTTTTTTTATCAAAATTTTTTTTTTTTACAAATTTATTGCTTAAGTAAAGTAAATTCTGTCGTACTAACTATTACATTTACACAAAAAAATGTTTACTTTTTTAAAAGAGAAAAAATCTATTTTGTGTGCATATGTGAGCAGGTCAGGAGGCGCTGAGTGACGACCTTTTCTCTGCTCAACATTAAATTTTATACAGTAGGCAGATGTTAGCGCTACTGGGTGGGCTCAGTCTGTGACACCTCAGTCTACGACCAAGGGCTAGAGTCGCCTAAGTAACCAGACATACTAACTATACTAACCTAAACTAAATGAAAACAAGATAACAAACTTTAGTTTAGGATAAATAAACAAAACGAAACTTTATTGACATATAAATGAATCCATAATAAAATATAATAAATATATACACTAACTTGACTAACCACTACTACTGAACCCATCAACTAACTAAAACCCTCTAAATCTACGCCACTACAAACACTAACAAGCTAACCAACTATCTAACACAAACTGATCAAACCAACTATCTAAATCACTACAACTACTACACTAGATATAGGTCTATACTAACACTAAAACAAGAACAACTTAGTACCTTACTATTCACCAAGAACAGACTAAGCCACTAGATCTAAGCCGACTAAGGCAACACTACAAAAACAAAATCAAAATAGCACTAGATTTAGATTCCCTAGATCTACAAAAGCAATAACAATAGCAGTAATAAATGCAGCAGAGTAATAGTAACTTAAAGCAGCAATAACACAACAGTTATATTCAGCAGCTATATTCAGCAGTAATAATAGCCTGCAAAACATAAATGCAAAACTATAAATACAAAATCATATATTCTACTAGATCTAGAGCATGAATAACATATTCATATCAGGCTAAGCTGGACGCCGCCATTTTTAATACAGCATGTTGGGAACAACTACCAACTAGAAAATAAAACTAAAATAAAATATATCTAGCATATTTACACACAGTGTGACATAGATCTAGTAAAAGAAAATATAAAATAGTTATAAACTTACAGGCCGTCCCAGGTACAGAAATATAGAAATGATTAAATAAGTATACGCCAGATCACTAAGATCATCAACTGTCACACAGACAGTGATATACTTTACTGACCGCTGGTCAACTGTACAGGATGTAGCATGGATTTAACTATTTATACTACCCGCCCTAACCCATATAACAAAAAGCGGAAGTACAAATATTGATTCTGGCACTAGCTTATAAAAAATAGAATACATAAAAATAGCTCTAACCTATACAAGTAGAAAAATAAAATTACAGATAAAAATAGCAAAAATTACATATAAAAAAAGCTCTGTGAGCGCAAGCTCACACATATAAGTTGGACATAATTTAAAACAACAATAATAAGTAGTTTTACATATTTTCGCGTGAACTGCAGTGATACCAATGTTGTGCAAATACTTAACTAAAGGAATTATTTTTTTTTTACGGAAATGTTTTTTTTTCTTGTGGATTTGAATAAGAGATTGACCCTTTACAAAATAATTAGATCAATTAGATATTCATTATAAGACATTAGTTAGGCCAGGTTTACATCCAACTTCACATTAACATTCACCTAGCCAGGGGCACCACACAAGATCTGTCAACCTTCTTTCTATATTCTTCCCTGTCATTTGTCTTTGATAAAATTTCATTCTGATATTCTTTCTTAAAATATTAAAACCTGCCTTTTTACCTGCCTGGGTGGACCACTTCGGGGGCCGATTTTGAGTTTGTGTTTCCACACAAACTGTCTTTGTAACCTTGTTTGATTGTATTTCTGTATTTGCAAATTATGGTTTGTTGTTTATGTATTAGTCCCTATTGCTACTTTACATTTCAGTCTATCCTAAAGTGTCACTAAAAAA